TCCGGTATGGCCAAGCGCTACCACGGAGGATGTTACTGGAATGGTCTTCGCTGCATGCAATGCAATTGTACGGAGATCCCATCAATGCCAGCAAGGAGAATGCCAGCCGCTGCATCCGCTGAAGAATCGCCAAAGTTTGCCCTGGAAGAACCACGGGAGCATCTCGAATCGTGAAAATTTGGGTTGACAGCGTGGATGAGATATAGAGAATAAGAGTGAATGAAAATGTTTTGGAGTCCTATGAGTCTTCTGTGATGTGTTTGAAATTTTCATGCCCTGAAAATGTCAGTCTTTTCTGGAAAGTTGTTGAACGTTCGCAATGACCAGAATGACAAGAAAATTTAGAACATGAAAAATAAAAAAGAAAGAAAGCCAACTAAGAAATCTCGAGTCAATCTATCCATGGGTGTAAAGCGATCTAGCCGTACAATTGGACCTCACAATATGAAATAAACTTTTTTTTTTTTTTTTGGTCAAAAGTTGTGCCTTCTTAGTCTCGACGTGGTACTTGGATAAGCAACAAGATGGAAATATGACGCAGCTGTGGAGACAAGTTTTTCAACGAATCTGATCTCTTTCCCAAGACAGTCTAGCAACTACATACACCCTCTCTCGATCGAAAATGAAATGAAACACACACTTCTCTTCTAAAGATCGACAAGATCCAACTGTTTATTTAGATTTTTGTTCTTTTAGTGGCAGTGAAGTCTATAGCAACGCGTGGACGCGTGGTAATGCATGAGTTCAACAATAATAAATATTATAAACTGTGAAAAAACAAAAAGTGTTGTCTTTACTCATCTGGATTCACAGCTTCATTTAGTGTTGTTGTGGTGTCCCAGCATTATAAGAAAAGGAACTAATACCAAGCAACAAACCGTTGAGGTTTCTCCCACATCCTCTCCCATGGCCAGCATCAAAACCATGGCAGGCGCCAGAAGCAACCATGCCATGTTCTTCATGATTTAGTGCAAAAACTCATAAATCGTGAGTAAAATGTAAAATCACGTGGCAATGTTTGGCGGTTTCCATGAGGTAAAATGCAGAATCACACGGGGTTTCATTGGCATGAAAGGTTTTATGATGGATCTCAGTGTCATACAAGAGTTGATCACTTATTTCACTCAGAAATCTAGCCATTTAGAACTCATTCCATTTCTCTATTTCATCTCTAGAGATCAGAAAAACAGTAGAAGGAAGCATTTGCTAAGCTTGGCTGAAACAAAAGAAGGCATAGAATCTTGAGGTAAGAACATTCTTGTAAAAAGGAAAGCATTTCTTTCTTTTATGTTTTCTAGATCCTACCACAAGATTTACTGTTACATGATGTAACAGTAAATCTTACATCAACTGCAAATCTCAGCCAGCACAGCATGCATACTCTAAGGAAATCTCACGATACTTCCTTGGCTGGTCCAAAAGGTACAACAACCAACCGGTGTACCAAAGAGCAAAAGAACATTATTTCCAAGAGCTCGTGTGCAAACACTTGTAGCTCCTGGAGGCTATCCCGTTCGTCACTGCATCCAGAGGTACACTATAAGTGTGTAGCTTCCTCTGAGGTCTTAACTGAACCACTTTCCAGCCCGTTGTGCAGAAAATTTGTCAGGCAGCTCATGTCAGTGAAAGCCAATGTCCCAGACCTGCAAAGGTAAAAGATGGTCAGGTTAAAAGAAAACGAAGTGCAACTTACTTCTCTGCTGTATTTCCAAGTTGTTTCCAGGCATCTATAACAAGTTCAACCTGCTACCAAAGCATGTGCTCAGAAGCAGATAGGGTATACTAGAAACTGGAACGAGGAATTAATGAAGCAAGCCATTCAAATCGTGAAAGATGGAAACTCGTCTAAGAGAGAAACAGCTTACACAAATTCAAGGTGGACGTAGCAAGGGGCTACCAGGCCCACCCACACTTCTTACATCAAACGAAGAAGGTAGTCTTGTTGCCATGGTGAAACACGAGCAGAGATTGGTTTATCCGCTCACCATGAATTAGGTGAAAGAAGCTGCAAAGCTGTAACTACCTGGACAGACACAGGACCGAGCCAAAAGTGGCAATAGCTTCGTGAAAAGGCACCCAAAGATCAGTAGCAATGCAAAGTTCTTGAGCAAAGAAGTTGTGTCACGATTCTATGAGAATCTTGATGCATCTTACGTTGCAAGAAGTTATGAGCCAAATCACATCTGGAATGTTGATGAAACCAGTGTCTGAGCCAATTTTTCTGGAGGTGTCAAAGTTTTGGCTGCCCGACCTGCTACTGAGTTGTACCAAACACTGAGCACATGATTGTTCTAGTGGTGGTGAATGCTGCAGTGAGTGGGAGCTGCATTTGCCATCGGTAAGAAAGCTTGAATGATGAACAATCTATGGCCACTTCAGCTTGAACACTTTATGAAATCAATCCCTGGTGGATGCTTGCCCACAAACTCTCATCATTGATGGCCACAAGTCTTATGTGACCAAGCTTGCCCTGGGAACAGCAAGACTGTTAGGCGTGGACGTACCCACACACACTTCTCACCACGTGCAGTCTTTGAACGTCGGCCCCTACAAGCATTACTTTGACAGGGGCATCTTGGACACAAAGTTAATTGCAATTATCCAGCAGAGCCATGGCTATGGCTCTAACAGGATTCAGAGCAAGTGGTTTGTGATTGTTGAACAAGAATGCCATGAACACTCACTTTGGGCTGAGTACACTCCACACAGCATCTTTCAACGACTTTGAACCAGATTTTGGAAACAATTTGGAGACTCGGGGCTGGAAAGCCAAGCAGCAACCTCAATCACAAACTAGCATAAGGATCTAGTGTACCCTGAGAAGTATGAGGTCCATCCAATGCAAGAGATCCATACAGTGCAGCCCAAGCAGCAACCAAGCAATCAGCCCAACCAGCCTGAGCTCCCAAACTTTCTGAACAGCCTGAGCAACCAAATCAAGGTGAAAGCACTTCCTAGTCAATGTTGTGGCTTTGTTTCATAGGGGGTTCATTTGAGCTTTAAACTGAGCAGTGTGAACAGCACAAGCATCAAAACCACAAAGTGGCATTCTTTCATGCAAAATTATTTGTAAGAGCATAATATCATTTTTTATTTAGACCAATGTTGCAAGTTAGTAATGGGATTGTCTTAAGAAGTCCAGAATTCACAAGTGTTATTCAAGCTATTGCTACTGCAAAAGAAACACATAAGCACCAAAAAAAACTAGAAGCAACTACAAGCAAAAAAGAAAACCAAGAAACAGCCAAGAAAGAAAGAAACAACAATTGCGAAGAAAAAGGAGAGGAAAGAAGTAACCACTGGAATTGTTTGAGTTAGAACTTATCCACACTAGTCAGTGTTTTTCTAAATTCTTCTTCATATTTATTACGGCTTTGAATACAATAGAAATCCCTGATTCATTAATCTTTCATTTCAGCCATGCAACTCCAGAACACACAGTGAGTTGTAGCCAAAAATTTGCAAAAGATCTCTGAAACCACCACACAGAGGAGCTTATAGCTCTCTGGTTGTGACATATCAATGCCATCATCAAGGGCATCGGTCATACCAATACCAGGCAGCAACGGTTGCGATTTCTCCCATATCCACTCCCATGGCCAGCATCATCACAACAAACCATGGGCCCATGTTCTTCATGATTTGCTGCAAAAACTAAGAGAAACAATCTCTAGTATACTGGAGAGAAGTGGTTTGATCTGTGACCCCCATCATAGTTATAGCTCAAGACGCTAGAATGCTCTTGGGAAGGCATCTTGAATATTTGAAAGTTAGTTGTTCCATGTTTGTCAATTCCTTCTCTTTTCTATAATGCTGGGGCATAGAACGAAGTTTGCAACACGAAGAAGGAAGTAAAAGTGCCACACAAGAAAAGCTCAGTCGGCAGGCCTGGAGTCAAAATGAAGTAAACTCCTGAAATGAAGCTATGAATCCAGATGGGAAATAGAGAGTACAGACATTTTTATCAAGGCCTGGACAGTTTCTATATTATTGTTGGATCTCATGCAATCAGTGTTCTTTTATTCTTCTTTCCAGACCCTGGCACTGCAGAATGATGAGTTCAGAAGAATTATGATGCTCACTCTTAAGTTGCGCTTACCCCTTGAAACGGGAGGTTTCAGTTGCGCCAGCAGCGATTGTTGCGCCAGACCCAACCCCTCTGGCAACGGTGGCAGCTGTTGTCATACCAATACCACCCCGACTGGCAGCGCTGGGCAGCAGCCTTTGCGATTCCTCCCACGTCTACGCCCATGGCCAGCATCATCACAAACATGGCAAGCGCCAAAAACATCACCAAGAAAGCCTTGTTCTCCATGATTTGCTGCTCAGACTAAGATCAAGTAGGCTTGTATATTAGAGAGAAATGATTTGGTCTGTGAGGCAGGACTCAGGAGGGGCTCGTATTTATAGCTCGAGGCAGCTCAAAATGTTAGATGGAGGCTGGAGAGTTGTCTTGGGACGGCTTCGCTTATTTCTCATCTCTGGAAGAATATTTGAAAGTTAGTCCAGTAAAAGTGGTTCCGTGTTTGCCAATTCTTTTTTTCCTATAATGCTTCTCCAACCCTTCAAATCCTTATCTCCAAAGTCACTCTAGCATTCCTTTTCTAGATTTGCCAAAACTTTACAAGAGTTTGATTCAAAGTTCCATAGAACTTTGATGCTAATATACCAAACACGAACCTCATACCTTGTCTTCCATTTCGACCACACACCCGGTACGCCCGCCTCAAGTCTCCCGCAACATTAATCAAAGTGGTAAATATTACATCGTCTCTTCTCACTGGCAGGCTCTTGACAATCTCTTGGGCATGCCCAGCATGCCAAAACAGATCGATCACGCACCAGCAATACAGGCTGCAACGGTTAATGAGATATTATTCGATAAATTTTTTATTCTTATTTAATTTACTTATAATTATTTCTGTTATTCTATTAATTAAATCTTGTTATTGTACTTTCGCATATGTTACATTGATAGAAAGTTAACCGGCCAAATGGACTCATCGCAGCTGCTTTTGCAGATTCGACACGAGCACGTAGAGCGCCGAGTCCCCTGGTTTCATCTCCAAGAGTTTCTCTGCGGCACGAGCTGCAACATCGATGTTCTTGTCGCTACCATGAACTTTGCAAGTGCTGATCAAGCTCTTCCACGCGAGGAAATGCGGCTGGAAGGGCATCACCAGCAGCAGACCTTCAGCCTCGGCAACCAGCCCGGCTCGTCCCAGCACATCTGCCATCGCCTGGAAGTGAATCACATTTGGAGAAATGCTGTACTCGGCCACCATAGATCGAAAGTAGTCGAGTGCCACACGGAGCTTCCCACCGTGATTGCAAGTCAGGAGAGAATCGCCTGGAAATTTATCTCGTTTCTCGCCTCGCCCTCCATCCCCATGCTACCAAAAAAACTCAGCAGCTTTTCGCTCATGGCCATTCTGTGCGCAGCCATGGATCATCGCGTTCCACGACACAATGCTCCGATCAGGCATTGTGGAGAAGATCTTCCCGACCTGCAAGAGATTCCCCCTTCGATCGCTCGCGGCAAGGATCGCGTTCCAGCTCGCTGTGTCTCTCACCGGCATGGCTGTGAAGAGCTCCCGCGCTTGGACGAGGCAATTGCTCTGGATGTAAGCTCCCAGCATCGTGTTCCACGCGGCGCTATCGTGCTGTGGCATTTTGTCGAACAAGGCTCTGGCATCGATCAAGCTCCCGTGCAAAGCAATTGCCGCCACCATTGCCGTCCAAGCGACGAGATAGCGCTGTGGCATCCGTGCAAACATCTTCATGGCTTCTTCGAGGTGGCCGTTGTTGGAGTAGGCCAAAATCGTGGCAGTCCACACCACGTCGTCGTGATAAGGAGCTTGATCGAAGAGAATGCGAGCTTCTTCGAGCTGGTTTCTCTCGGCCAGTGCTGTGATCATTGTCGACCACGATGCAACGTTCCTCTGTGGCAGGGCATCAAACAGAGACCTTGCTTCTTGCAGGCTGGACGCGTTCCACGAGATTAAGTCGCGGTGTGCCATTTTACTGAAAAGCTCCTTGGCTTTTTCAATATGCCCAATCTAAGCATATGCAGTGACAAGAACAGTCCATCCCAGCTCGTTGGTTTTGGGAATTCTCATAAACAAATTTATTGCATCGTTAACAAGAAATTTTCTTGCAAACCCAGTAACCAGAACAGTCCAAGAAACTATGCTGTGTTCTAGCATTCCATCGAAGACCTGGCTCCTGATCCATATGCCCATTATGGGCACATGCTGTAAGTAGCGAGTTTTAGCAAACTACATCCCATTCTAGAACCTGATCAAAACATGCTTGGCATTCCTCCACGTTTCCCCGGTTTGCATGAGCCGAGAAAACAGTGACCCATGCAACAATATTTTTTTGTGGCATCTGGTCAAACAGCTCTTTTGCTTCCTCGAGATACCCATTCTGGGCATAAGCGCCAAGCATCAAGTTCCAGGAGAATCTGTTGGGCTCGTGGATGCTGATAAACACCTGCCATGCTCGATCCGCGCGCTCCCACCTTCCATAGAGCTGGATGAGAAGATTTGCGAGGTACCTGTTGGATTGGTGGTGGCTGCTGCGCGTGGAGGCTGGCGCAAATCTCTTTCCTGGATGCAAGCTGTGAGGAGTTGCGCGTAGTCGTTCGAGCGACGATGCGCGCCGCTCTAGATCGTCCACGGCCTGTTCTAGAGGCTTCAATCGGTACGTCTGCGTGGTAGTGATTCCTCTCATCGATAATTTCCTTTGCTTTTACCGGTGTTTTCCTGGAATACAGTAAACTCTCTCGACTGACAAGATAGAGCTTTGATTTGTCAATGGCGAATAAGCGTTTCCGAAGGCGACATTTCATATGGGGCAATTGGATTTCTGCTGTAAAAAGGAAACGGTGGTCACAGTGTGTTCCCTCAACTTGGTCTTCATAGTTATCACGGTTTGAATTATAAATTGCTAAATAATTTCCGAGAGGAAACTTACGATCCATACCAGCGCCATCCTCGAGGTGCGATTCCTCCCACGTCCACGCCCATGGCAAGCATTACAAACGTGACGAGCACCGAAAACAACAACTTTTTTGCTGCTAGTAAGCTTGTTATGGTTTAATCTATGAGGCCCCTTCTGCCGCACAGATCAAAGTACTTCTCTCTTCTCTTAGTTTGTCAGCAAATCATGGAGAACAAGGCTTTTTTGGCGCTCGCCATGTTTTTGATGATGCTGCCCATGGGCGTGGACGTGGGAGGAATCGCAAAGGCCGCTGCCCAGCGCTGCCAGTCGGGGTGGTATTGGTATGACAATAGTTGCCACCGTTGCCAGACGGTTGGAGCTGACGCAACAATCGCTGCTGGCGCAACTGAAACCTCTCGTTTCACGGGGTAAGCCCAAGTTAAGGAGCAGCATCGTAATTGATTTCATCATTCTGCAGCGCCAAAGACACTGATACCGTGCTTTCTGTATCGTGCGATGCTGGATGAGTTCTAGCAATAATATATAAATTGTCCAGGCCTTGATATAAAATGTCTGAATCTCTCTTGCTCCTTCTCCTCTCTTCTCCAAATCCCTCGACTTTCAATCAATCCATCGCTAGATTGATCGATTGCTCCAATGATCGGCAAGCAACAAGACTCGATTGGAGCATCACAACCAGGCCCAGGCACACCTAGCAGTGGGAGGGGAGGTTGGGGGGATGGTGCAGCACTGCCGCAAAGGATGGTACTGGAATGGATTTCGCTGCATGCACTGCAATTGGTACGGGTATGACAACAGAGGCCATCGATGCCAGCAAGGGGAATAGCAGCCGCTGCCTCCGGTGAAGAATCGCCAAAGCTTGCTGGGTTGACAGCGTGGATGAGATACATAGAATATGAAAATATTTTGGAGTCGATCTCTATATACGTGTTTGGAATTCTGTCAATGTGTTTTCTGGAAAGTTGTTGAACGTTCGCAATAACCAGAATGACAAGAAAATTTAGAACATGAAAAATAAAAAAGAAAGAAAGCTATCCAAGGGTGTAAAGTGTTCAGCTTTAAATAAACTAATATATATTCTTGTCAATGAAAGTGAACTTGGAAAAGCAACAAGATGGAAATATGACAAGTGGAGACAAAACAACAATCTGATCTCTTTCCCAAGACAAAGTCTATCAAGTACATACACCATGTATATAAAACACGGATTTTTGTTCTTTTTGGTGGCAGTGAAGTCAATAGCAATTGATGCATGAATTCAACAATAATATATATTATAAACTGTGAAAAAACAAAAAATGTGGTCTGTACGATTTCCTTGACTAACTTTCAAAGGATAAAGTGATGCCACTCTAGCATTGTATCCTTGAGGAAACCTGTGTTCAAGAGGTTTTCTTTTTATACCAATAAAAAAATGCATCTTGGTATACTATTTAAATTTATCCTTCCAAAAGTTTGCATAATCATTATCACTTTTGAGACAAAATCTTTGAAGTTAATATCCTCAAAGATTCATCCACACTAATTGTAGTGGATAGACCTAAAATATACTAGTCTGAAGAGGAATAGGAAAGTGCATAGAATCTTGAGGTAAGAACATTCTTGTAAAATAAAAGCATTTTTTTCTTTTATATTTTCTAGATCCAATCACAAAATTTACTGTTACATGAAGAGCTCGTGTGCAAACAGTTGCAGCTCCCAGAGGCTATCCCGTTCTGGGCCATCATTGCATCCAGAGGTCCTTTGAGGTCTTAATTAAACCACTTTCAGCCCGTTCTGCAGAAAAATTGTCAGGCAGCTCTTGTCAGTGAAAGCCGTGTCCCAGACCTGCAAAGGTTAAATATAAAAGAAAGAGAAGCCCAACTTACTTCTCTTCTTGTTGTTTCCAGGCATCTATAGCACTCAATGAACTTTACAGCTTGGAGCAGCAGCCCAATGAGCAAGTACAAGATTACATCACTTGGCTCTAGTGTAAGGTGGTGGATATTCTGCTACTGGATCCAGATTGCGGTGTTACATATCAAGAGTTCAATGCTGTCTTTTGTAAAGGACTTGCAACTTGGTGCCATGAAGTCTCATATCTTAGATACATCAAGAAAATTCCCGACATCACCCAGTGGCAAATTTTTGCTGAGCTCATGCAGTATGAGAAGACCATCGTTGGCAAAGGCAAATCTGCTGAGCAGGAAGAGATTGCCATGATGACTCATGGCAATCAACAAGCACGAGAAGGGTGCTCCTCTGTTTTTAATGGACTTGGAAACAAGTGCTCCAATAGCAAGGATGAAAAACTAGGAACCAAGCAAGAATTCAACTTGAAATATAGGATCCTGAGTAGGGATTGTCCCATGAATTATTGTTAAAAAATTATTCAACTTTTGAGTATGAGTTATTCTTAGAGCTAAGGCAATGCACAGGCCAAGTGCAACTCATAGCTAATATCTTGTTAACAGTTAAAGGTGTAGGCACAATTCAAGTGTGACTACTAATAGACTTGGTGGTTCCAGTCAAGCATGTGTGGTACATTCCCAAGGCTCAACATTTCTTGGTGTCCCTTGGACAAATGATAGAGTAAAGATTCGACACGATGATTGTGTCAAGATCATACATTTAGAGGTTGGATATGTGGCTTTTGCAAGTAAGATAGGATGGTTTTTCCAGATGGATTATGAAGTTTGTATCCTAAGTTGCTAGATATGATGATAATGGCTACTGTGAGTTCATCTTTAGGGGGAGTTGTAGATATCCAATGGCATCATCAGCTTTGCCATATGAACTACAAAATGATTCAACAGTTGCAATAAGACCATATGGTTGAAGGCTTAGCCATCACGCCTTCTTCAATGCTATTATGCAAACCATGCATAATGGGCAAGCAACATGGTTGCTTGTTCAACTTTAGCAAGAGTATTCATATGATAGGTCCTCTCCAGCTGGTGCACTTAGACTTGTATAGTCCATTTAAGAGGTATTTTATTTCATTCATAGATAAAGCTATAAGGTCTGTACTAAGGAAAATTTGCCTACATTTAAAGCTTATAAGCATGAAGTGCAGAACTAGCTTGATTTGCATATCAAAGTTCTCTACTCTAATGGAGGAGTTCCATACACTACTGAATAGAGCCAGCTAGGACATAGTTGATGTTAGTCTTCCTCCCAAGTTTTGGGATTGTACAGTTGTCTTTATGTGTAATAGGGTGTTAATTACAGTTGTTCAAGACAAAACACTTTATAAAACTTGGACTGGACAACATTCATGCATAGATATCTTTGTTAGGGGGATGAGGGGCACTCCCTTAACACTCGCTCAAACACGAGAATTGCTCTAATGTTCTTCACAAATGCTTCCTTTTTGCTTTTGTGGGGCAAGGGTTTTATACAAGAAGGATGGGGAATATTCCAAGAATTAAAATATTCTCTCTCTCTCTCTCTCTCTCTCTCTCTCTCTCTCTCTCTCTCTCTCTCTCTAAGTGGCCATGCCCTATCATGATCTTAAGATGTTCCTAATGAGCTCCATAGAAAGTTGAATGTTAAATCCAATTTGGGCTATAGTAAGGATATTGACTCCTTCACCTAAACTCAAGCAAAGAGTTCATGAGTTGAGATGTGATCTTTGATGAGCATTGAGTTTATGACACTGGGAGTTCCTTCTACAAGTTTTCCTTATGGAGAAAGAAGGGGGAGATTCCAACCTATGTTCTTTAGTCCATGAGAATGATAATGATCCTCATCCTCGACGTGGCTGTTTGTATGCTCCAGCTGCAAGGGGAGCTTTGACCTTTGCTATGACACAAGATCCTAAGCCTGGACAGGTGGTGTGGATTGCTTACCTTTTGAGCTTGAATAGGTGGTGCAACTTACTAAGCCTGAAAAGGTGGTATCCTGAATTCCTAATAATTCTAAGGGATGAGTTCTTGGTCATGACAGGGTTCTTGCATATGATCCTAACTAAGTCCCTAGTTCTTGAGCAGCCTGAGCATAAACTCGTGATCAAGATATTGTCCAATTTCTTAGCCACTCTAGACACCCTTTGACATATATCAGAGCTTATCAGCAAGAGTAAGTTGAAAGGTGAGCATGAGCAGCTGCCAAAGCCTCTTAAGTTTGATGACCATGTTTACAGCTGTGAAGATGCAAATTCTTGTTATGCTTGCTCAAGCTAAGAAATCTCCTTATGCTGCTACATGGGATCAAGCTATAGCTGATGAGATGTGAGCTCATGAGAAAAATGAGACTTGGTACATTTCTAAATTTGTTTCTGACAATGCTAATGTCATTTTGACAAAGCTTCTACTTTGTGTGAAAGCTGGACCACCAAAAGAAGTGCAATGCTTCAAAGCCATACTTGTGGTGAGAGGCTTCATTTGATCTAAGGTATTGACTTTACAGAAACCTAGCCCAATTGTGAAAATGCATGATCTTTATGTGGAGTAGATGGATGTGAAGACAGTTTTTCCACATGAAGAAATTCCTGAAGAGGTTTACATCCTTGAAGCAAGAGGATTTACAGGCTGAACAAGCCTTTATATGTCCATATATTTGGTATAAGAAAATTGTTTTGATTTCTCTTGGATTCTAGAAAGCCCATGTTGATTTAAACATTTTTATGAAGTTGGAGGATGGTGCCTTGGTCATTTTTGGCCTTCTATGTGGATGATGGGCTCTTTGTTTCCAACAACAAAACACTCCTTGCTGAAATCAAGTAAAAGTTAGGAGCTAAATGTGATATGCAAGTTGGCTTTGTGAATACTTTCCTTGGGAATGACTAA